GTTGTTATTTTCCCAAGAGGTCATCCTCTTAAAATATATCAAGTATGTCTGCCAAATTTTAGAGTGTTAAATTTTAGTAAATGTTCTCTATTTTTTCTAAGGGTTGATGCTGGTTGGCATAATCAATTGGTTCACCACCCTGAACATGCTACAATCAAATTGGTTCACAACCCTGAACATTGATTAGAAATCGTGTTACATTATCTCAGTATTATAGTTATAGACTTTTAGTTGGACAATTAACCTAAACAAAAAAAATAGGTGAAGTGATTTTTAGTAACTTCAGATCACTTTGTTGTTATTTTTTTATTACTATAAGAAGGGTTAATAACAAAAGTTTTTTTGGCAGTAGAACTGGTACTGATTTTAGTAAGTTTGCTATATTTTTTTATTTAACATTTTCATTAGATTTAATAGGTTTAATAGATTTTTTTTAATTACTTTGGAGTAAAATATATTGAGTGATATTACTTCATTTTTTACACTTTTAGATTATGTATTGTTGTTTAGATTCTTTGTTAAATTACAATTTATTGTTGTAAATAAATTTTTATTTTTATTTTTGATAGACAACTTTTATCGAAAAATAAAAATAAAAATTTATTTACATCAATAAGAAAGCATGAACTTCCTATTAAATGCTTATCCACGGTGCTCTGTGATAAGACCTCGAGGACTTCTTGGAGCACCTAAAATAAAATTAAAAAAAAAGTTGTTGAAATATAAGAAATGCTGCTCGGCGAGCAGAAAACTTACTTGCCAGAATTCAGTGTCAAGCCGTGTTAATGTGTGTTTATTTGATTTTATTTTAAACACTTTAAAACAATTTAAATCAAATAGTTTTACATTTAAATGATTTTAAATTTTTTTATAAATTCAAATGTAATTATGTTCTTTTTTTTTAGTTGCCTTTCTTATCACTTGATTAGTTTGCTTACTGTTGAAACATGGTTTTAATTTTGTAAATTTAATGATATAAAATTTACTCTATTAATCATTAGTTGACAGTTAAAGAGAAGCTGGAACTTTACATAATAAAGGTAAAAATAATTTTGTTTACTCTTAGATAAGAGTTAAAAGAGAATTATTATATATATATTAGTACATGGAGCATCAATAAAACTTATATAATTACTTTTTAGTTAAAATAAAAGTAATTATATAAGTTTTATTAATGCCACAATTGATAATGACCATGTATATAAAAAATTTTATGAGCTGCTTGGTATTTTATGATAAAATTGTTCAATATTGTAATCAATAAAATCTTTTTAGCTCAATTATTTTAGTTGATAAAATATCTTAATTTATGATGTTATACGTTATTACGTTATTTACTACGTTAAGTTGTCTAGCCTTTATATAATCTTTTCTTTTTTAATCATTTTGGAGAGACAATAATGTGTGCTTACAAATATCTTATGCTATGCGCTATTGTTAATGTGTTTTGTGTTGATAGAACTGGGCTATTACAGCAATTTTTTTAAGTCTTTATATCTTCATTCTACCAACAATAAAATGCAAGTAATACTTTGTAATTAAAAATTGTAATTATTTTTCGTTCCTTTTTTTAGGCATTGGAGGCTTTACTTGACTTTCTTTTTATGGTACCTGCTGTGTTGTAACAGATTTTAAAAAGAACTTAACTGATGATAACGTAGTCTTTTTTGTTGTTGACTGGAAGCAATTATTTAATTACTAATAACCCGTATTACGGGTTGCTTACTGCTAGTAAGTTATTATTATGTATATTATGAACTTATTGTTAATATTGCAAGTGTACAACTTTCAAATTCAATCAAATTCAAAAAATATTAATGATTAAAAAATGAAGTTGATGCATAACAATAAAGCCATTTTTTGCATTTAAACAACTAATTATATCTTTATTTATATCTAACGGTGTGTAAACTTTGATAACATCAGTAATTTTTCTTGCATAAAATATAGAAAAATCAATGGAAAAGAGTGGATCTGTAAAAATAATTTAAAAGCTTTTAATTCCCTAAATATAACCTATCCATTACATTCTATTCGCCTGCTTGCTCTTTGTAAATGTTTCTGACTAAACCAATATTTTGATCAAACTCAAATCATTTATTACAATCACTAGCAGAAACAAAACTTTATATTTTGATCATTTTAAAAATGCAAACAGTGTCTCAATTGAATATTTACTACATGTTTAATAGTTTCTGGAATATATGTTTAACAAATATGTTAAACTTTGTAAGTTTATTTTAAAAAAATATATAAAAAATTTCTTTTATAATGATAATAAATAAATGAAATTACAAAGCAACGTCTTTAAAATGGAGTTTCACAGTGACAAAATACATCAAAAAAAAAAAATTTCTCTTTGATTACAATGTAAAATAATGTATACAAAAAATATAATGCATAAATATTAAATTTTTAATCTTATTTCACGCACAATACGAATTATAAATGGCAACCATCGAGTTATGGTTTTTTAAATTATCAGTTTAAACCTTTTGGGAACCTTATGGAAAACCCGTCAAATCCCCACATTCTTCGGCCCTGATAAAAACCAGATAAAACCCAAACGAGCAAATATGCTTGATTTTATTACCATATGGGACCCGTATGGAAACCAAAACACTTACCCGTCAAAATCCCGTTTCCATAAGCCCAGACAAAAACCATACGATACCCGTCTGTCAATGTTGGCTGGGATACTCCATTATAAATACGGTTAGTCACGTGGTATAACACCGTACAAATAGTGGTAAAAATGTTCGTCCGGTCGCCGTACGCGTAGACACTGCCTATTTTATAATTTATGTAATAAAGTAATATATTATGTAAAATATACATAATATATATGCTTATATACATATTATAGTGTATATATTATATATATATATATATATATATATATATATATATATATATATATATATATATATTATCATTATTATTAATATTATTATTTTTAATTTACTTTACACGGTCGTTTAGATACTAGGAAAATGCGTAAAGTTTAGGTGCGCATGCGTCAGTTCTTGGTAAAAAATTTAGAGCTTTTAAAATGGCTGCGGTTCATAACTACAGAGTAAATTTTAGATGACAGCCATTTATTTGCATTTTTTGGTGTATTGTTCAGTATTATAAACTTTTTTTTATTTCAATCAATAAATAAGCATCTTATTTGTAATATTAAACAAATGCAATATGTTTACAAACAAATTAAGATGCGGTTAGCTGTATTTATGCGAAAGCTATTTTGCTGTGGAAAAGCGACTTGTTTATTTTTTTGAAATAAATTTCCAGAATTTCTAACTGTGCGAATTAGAATATTTTTTTTTCAACTTCTTTTATATTCTTTTCTTTATAGTTGTTTATTTTTTGGTTGTTGCTTAAATTTAATTTTTTTGTAAAAATATGTTTTAACTTGTTTGACTTGTTATTAATAAGTCAAACGAGTTATAATACATTTAGTTAACAATTTTATGTGCTAAGAATTTTTTCTAATAAATTTTTTTGTTGCATTTTATTTGATCATATTATGAAAATAAGGTTAAAAAAAATGGGTAAAAACAAATTAGATATTATAACATAATTTACTACTTGCTTTTTAAGTAATAATTAAATGTTAATAACTATATATATATATATATATATATTTATATACATATATATATATATATATATATATATATATATATATATATATATATATATATATATATATATATATATATATATATATATATATATATATATATATATATATGTATATATATATATATATATATATATATATATATATATATATATGAATATATATATATATATATATATATATATACATATATATATATATGTATTTATATATATATATATGTATATATATATGTATATATATATATATATGTATATATATATATATATATATGTATATATATATATATATATATATATATATATATATATATATATATATATATATATATGTATATATATATATATGTATATATATATACATATATATATATATGTATATATATATATATATATATATATATATATATATATATATATATATATATATGTATGGATTATAGCCTTATCTAAGTTCTAAACTTGTAAATATTTTATATATTTTTACTTTTAGATGGAAAAGCATTACAGCAATTTAAATTATTTATGCAGAATTTGTTCATAATGGGTAGGAAGAAGACAATATATTATGAGCGATACCCTTAAAATCAAAATAGAGAATGTTTTTTTGGTTAAAATTGCAGATTTAGAAAATGTTCATCCAAAAAAAATTTTCCATAAGTGTTATTGTTCAATTAATAATGCAAACAGCAGTAAAACAACAACATCACTTTCTTTATTTGTGAACTGGCTGCCACATAACAAAAATTGTGTAACATGTCGAATGGCTGAAGAAGTGCGAAATGGGACAGTTTACACACGTTTAATTAATAAAAAGGCAAAAACAACAAAAAGTAAAATACTTGTACCTAGAAAGTTTAGTAAGTGCTTGACAATAGCCATGTTTAGTTCAATAAAAGAAAATCTAATTCCGATCCATAATTTAGATATTAACATATTAGAACTAAAAAATGATCTAAATCCTTTTTTAGAGCTTTGTTTATGCTCTATATGCTATAAAATACCACAAACACCTGTAACATTGAAAAGAGGTGAGCACTTGTTTTGTTTTTTTTGTCTTGTGGAAGAAATGAAATTAAGTTATATAGATGAAACTTTTTGTCCTAAATGTAAAGAAAAAATATGTTACAATGATTTATTGACTAGTAAGCAAACTGATGCCCTATTCAAGATGCTAACTCTAGTATGTGTTTTCTGCCATTCTAAATTTAATGCATTAAAAGAATATGAGTTCTGCCATGTTCATAAAAGTAAATGTGATAAAGAAGATACTTCATTAGAGTCATCACCAGCAACATCGCCTAAAAGTATCAATATGAGTGATGTCTTTAACATAAATAAAGATAATATTCCACAAGAACTAGAAGAAGCAGCTCTTCATATAATTACATTAAAAATGGAAAAAACTGGAGAGAATGTAGTTGAATTTAAAAGTGGAGGTCCTAGAATAAGCCTTTTATGTGTCAAGTAATAATAAGTAATAATATTTGCAAATTCAAAGTTTAATAGTCTAAAAAATAAATTATTTCACTTCAAACTTTTCAGCCAATAGTATTTACACAAACACCAAAAGCTTATGTCAACAGCGACCAGGCATCAGTATCTACTATACGACTTCGCAATACCAATATTACAAATCATTTAGAAATTGTAGCAGGCAATTCAGGTGATTCAGTTGTAAATCAAACAAATAAATTGTTAAAATCGTTTAAACTAGAAACAAGACAATCCATATTAAAAAGTGCCAAGCTTAACCACACTGAAATAAATGCAAGTTTAATGGTAGCTATGAAAACAGACATGGGGCTCCCATGGGAAAAACTCAAAATAATGTCCAGGTAAGTCAATATTTATGATGACTTTTAAATTTAAATGTCTTTATATGAACATTTTTTGTTCAAGTACAAAAAACACGCATATAAAGATTTCAAGTTTTATAGTTTAATTTTTTTCCAGATGGCTTAATACTATGGTATTAACACTGCATCAAATGATTCACAAAGAATGGTTGCAGAAAGTTGGTCTGGAAATGATATAGTTGTTGAAAATGCCCCTTTCACATTTCAAAAAGAAAAGAAAGGAAAGTTTGAAATTAAAGAGGCTCCTTGGGGATATATTACCGATTTACATAATCATATTTTTAGATATCTTGAAAATTTGGAAAAGTAAGTTATTACTGCAAGAAATTTTTATGTATTTATTGTCTTAGAAAAATATTATCAATTTAGAAGAACAGTTAGAAAGAAGATTTAGAAAAAGAAAAATTAGATATCAGTTTTTAGTTGGTAAAAATTATTTTCATTGTTTATTCACAACTTAATTTTCTACAATAAAAAAAATTTATTTACATATAGTATGTGAAACAATATTACTGTTTTTTAGTTGTAATAGTCTGGTGCATCATAAGTTCATTCCAAAAAAGAAATTCAAATAAAAATAGGAGGAGATTATGACGGGGTAGTTTCAAGATGAGCTACCAGGTTGTCAATACCCTAAACCCAAACAGTACAGAAAATACGATTGTTTTTAACATGTTTGAAGCAAAGGACTACAGAGTAAATGTTAAAGTTGCCATGACAAGATTTCAAAAGCAAATAGAAGACCTCAAATAATTAAATATAAGTACGTTCTGATATATATAATAGTTATATATAATGGGTATATATAAAAGTTATATCTACCTGATATATATATATATATATATATATATATATATATATATATATATATATATATATATATATATATATATATATATATATATATATATATATATATATATGTATATATATATATATATATGTATATATATATATATATATATATATATATATATATATATATATATATATATTTATATATTTATATGTATATATATATACATACATATTATAGGGATTATAATATTCGAGTATTTATCTTTGGAGATTATGCCTTTCTGTGTGCATTGTATGGCATTTCAGGAGCATCAGGTGAGTTGATAATACTTATATATATTTACTGATAAAAATTATATATACTGATAAACGTTTTATATATATATATATAAATATATATATATGTGTGTGTGTGTGTGTGTATATACCTAATTTATAATTTGTGTATCGCTTTATTATAATTTGAAAATCTTAAGGTACTCACTGTTGTTTGTTCTGTAATGCGACAGCAGACGAAATGAAAATTTGCAAAAGCGAAAGACCGGTAATTGATATCCGCACAATTGAAAGCCTTCAAACTGACTTGAAAAAATTCATGAAAAATGGTGGTCTCAAGAAAAATGCGAAGTATAACAAAAATGTTATAACAGAGCCAATCTTGAGAATACCTTTAGATCAGGTAAGTTTTTTATATTTTTTAGTTTTAATTTATATTTGGTTTTAGCATAATTAATATATATATATATATATATATATATATATATATATATATATATATATATATATATATATATATATATATATATATATATATATATATATATATATATATATATATATATATATACATATATTTACAAATTTTTAAATTTAATAAAGTTTATTAAAATGTTTATGTATAGGTTTCTTTACCAAGTCTGCATATTGCTCTTGGTTTTATTTAAAGTTTTTCAACATGTTTGAAGAAGAAGCACATGGTGTTGACATTATGATGGCAGCATTGTTAAAAAGCAAAAATAGTTTATCTGAACCTTATAATAACTTCATTTTAAAACAAAAAAAAATTTCTGGTTTGAAAAATTGTATCTCAGATCTTGATGATCAAATTGAGTTGATTAGTGACGATTTTGCTACATCTATACTAGCTAATCCAGATGATTCAGAAAATATTATGTTAATTTACATCTGTGAGTATGACTTTCTAACCAAAAACAAAGATAAAAAAGTAAGAAACTGTGTATAAATTGCAGAATTTAAGATTTATTTAAAAAATTATTTTAAATTCGTTTATTTTTCAAAGTCTTACAGAAAGTGAAACCATATTTATCATATAGATACAAGAGTGTAATACTTTGGAAAAAGAATCTATTTTAAAGAAAAGTGAGGGACCGTGTACCCAACAGATTGAGGTTATTTTGCAACAACTTAAAGTTCAACGTCAGGCATATCACGGAAAAAGTTTCATTGGAAACCATGTACATAAAATGCTTAAAGTATGCTAAATATATTATAATATATATAATTAACTATAACTTTAATTTGTATAAAATAATGTCAGGGCAGTTGCTTTGTGCCTATATAGAATGGCATAGGAAGGTCAAAAAAAGTGTGTTGGGGGGGGGGGCCAAAACAGATATTATAAGGGGCTAAGGCAGCCATAATGTATATATATATATATATATATATATATATATATATATATATATATATATATATATATATATATATATATATATATATATATATAGATAGATAGATAGATATATATATATATATATATATATATATATATATATGTATATATATATATACGCATTATATTACTGTTGCTTAGTGTCTTTACACTAAGTAGACGCCAATTACGATTTTTGATCCAGGGGGCTTAAGGGTTTTTAGCGCCCCTGCAGCTATATTAGGTGCCAAGTTACTAAATCACAAAATTGTCAAAATATATAGACCTCGTTTTTTTTAGAAAAAATGTATACTACAGCTATGCAATTCTGTTCCGATCCTTGTTTACAATAACGGATTTGCTGGAACAAGTCTACACGAGAGATCAGTTGAAGTTGGAAACAAGTATAAACAACTTTTCCATAAATTTGCTAATTGTTATAACGTCTTCTCTTCAAAAAGTTTAATAACAACAGTTCAATTAACACAACTTGGTATGTTTTTTTAGATTCGACAGGATTAAATGGTTAATGGAAACTCTCTCCAACTCATCGACATATCAATTAATCATTACTTATTTTTAATATTGAAAAAATTATACTCTGTTCTTGTGATAAGTACTTTATAGGGTGTTGCGGAAGTAAACTTAAATTATAAGTATATGTATCAAAGTGTTTTTAGTATCTTTGAGAACAAAGTAAAATTTGAATTAGATAAAAAAATTATAGCTGGAAATAAAAAAGTGTAAAAAATGTAAAAATATATTTAAAATATTTATAAAAAAATATATAAGGATAAATATATATATATATATAATAAAAAGAAATAAAAAAGAAAAGTGTAAATAATGTAAAATAATAGACAAAAAAAAAAAAACAATTTCTTCATTATTGGTTGCATTTCAAACTTGTTGTACTATAATCAATTATTTAAAAATGGATAATAATAATTATTTATACTATCATCAACACTATATATTATATAAGTATATAATATAATGCTAATAGCATTAAATTTATGTGTGGTTGGGGGGGGGGGGGATCTACAAAATATAGGTATTGTAACTTCCCCCCATCCGCCCCTGTTGAATAATTTAATAAATTTATCTTGGCTTTTTTTCTAAATGTTTTAAAGTGTTGATCAGTATATAGCTTTTTTTTCTTTGTTTTACGATAATTTCCTTAACAGTCGTAAACTTACTACTTATAATTTACTTTATCAAAATCTTATCTTATAGAAGTTACGAAGTAGCGCAGTGGTTAGCGCGCTTGCCTCAGAAACAGCCTGCAAATCCTGAAATCCGGCAACTTTAAAAAAAAAATTAACCGATAGTAGTAAATCAATTGTAACTATATTATTTTCTATTACGAGCTACTTTTTCCTTCGTAAAGTAAAAAGAAAGAGATATTCCAAAAGTTACGTTTTTTTTTTCACAAAGAAATAAATCGCAATATCTCCTACACGCAAACGCGAACTCCAACAATATTACATTGAAAGATAAAATGATCAATTACTGAAATTTTTTTCAATTTCTGATTAAAGGCTCGGCAGATAAACGCAATTCGTCAACTTATCCCTGCTGACAACTAGCCCCGGTGTCTCCTACTATACTAAATCCACCACTAATACAACTTCTTCTTAGGGGCGTCCATAAAATATATACACAGCAAAATTAAGGCCTTACTAATGCGTTAAAGGCGGGCTCAATGGGACTGTTTAAATAATACGTGATAGTATTAGGAAGGGGGGGGAGTATTAGAGTCACTAATTATTACGAGGGGGAGGCTAGCTACAATGTGACAAAAAGATTTGATTTCAATTCTTATCACAGCGGAATTAGTGATTTATTTTATTTTAGCAGAATATTTCAAACTTAGATATATTTTGTTAAATAATGATGACATTTAATATAAGAGGAAGGAGGGGGGGAGGAAAGCTTGATAAAATATCAAACAAAATGGCTCATGGAGGAGGGGCAGTTAAAAAAGGGATAAAGTTTCACGTATAATTTGAACAGCCCCTAAACTACAAAATCCCCTATGTATATTTTTAAAACATTAAACACAAACAAGATCAAACTTTTTCTAACTCAAAATTTTTCTTCATTTAAGACGGGCAGTTTAAAAAGGCATTAAAAGACATTTGTATAATACTAATAGTTTAATTAACGAACTATGTTACAAAATTTAAAAATTTGTATCTTTGTAACTAACAAACTATTGATTGATAAAACTTTTGATTTAATTAATTATTGATTGAACTTTTGAAATTCGTTAATATAATAAATCTGTAGAGTAATGGCATGCATTTAAATGTATTTCAATTATAAACACAGTGTCATACCTCCTTTTTACAATCAGAGTTTTTTAATACAAAAGTTTTTAAACATTAATTAATATATTCAAAATCTAGTTAGAGCTTCTGTCACGTGCATAGATACCATGATGCCATAGAACATGATACTGTACTTTTAATCAAATCATTTCCTAGAGGTATTTTAAGAAATCATCTAAAGATAAAATTTTTAACAAAATAATCAATTTGAATGAAGGAAGTTTAGGAAATTAAATTTAAATTAAGCATCCTCCACCGTTATCATCATACATCAAATTACACTAAAAGTTTTAATACTAAAAAGCTTTTACACAATAAAAAATGAAAAAGGTCTTTAGTAAAACTCATGAAAAAAGATAAAACAGTACTAAAAAAATTAACTATAAAATTAACCTTTAGTTCAATGCCATTAAAGTTAAAATACTTGAAAATTGAACAATTCATTGAAATTAAGGCACCCTTACATGTTATTATAAATTTAAACTAACATGATAACAAAATCATATATAATGGTAATAAATATTAGGTATTGTCTGACTGTACATTACCTGCTATTAATACAATATGATATCTAAATTAGTAAAATGCAACCATAATTAAGTATTTTAAAAAGACTATAATTGTCGTCATATTTGATGCCTTAATACTTCAAACCTACATGTAAAAAAATCAAGTAACATTTTAGTTTGAATAATTTTAGTGAGAATAATAAATTAACATACTTTTCGCCTAAGACATGTGTTTTAATGGGTTTCTTAAAAAATGCTTGTCTCGTTTGTTTATTTTAATTCCTAAATTATAATTAAAACTTTACATAACTTACGCTTATGTAACATTGTACTTTGCTATCTCAATACATACATACATACATATATATAAATATATATATATATATATATATATATATATATATATATATATATATATATATATATATATATATATATATATATATACACACACACATACATACATATATATATATATATATATATATATATATATATATACACATATATATATATATATACACATATATATATATATATATATACACATATATATATATATATATATATATATATATATATATATATATATATATATATATATATTTAATAAATATATTTTTATAGCAATGAAATTTTTTTTTAGCAACTGCATGTTTTTAAATACATGCAATATAAAGTAACTGTATGTAAAAGAACAGTACTTTATAAGTAGTAAATTTATTATAATACTCTTTAGCATTTTATTTCATTTTCATATCCCTAATTTTTTAACATATTTGATTAAAATGCACTAGGACAAAGCTATTAAAAAAAACTAAGCACTAAACAAGTCAACGGAGTTAAAACACATTTTTCCAGCTAAATTAAATTTAAGCATTGACCAAAAAGTTATCAAATATAAAGAAAAGAATATTAAAGGAGTCAATGAAAAAAAATTTAAATTCGTACAGTTAGAAATCCTTAAAATTTATTTCAAAAAAATATACAAATCACTTAGTATTACAAATAAAAGATTTAGCTCAAATACAAATTAAAACATTTAAAAATATTTTTGAGCTCACTTATTAATTTTTTAATTAAAAAAAATACATTTATTTATAGAATTCAATCAATAATATGGCTGCAACAATGATTTTTACGAAAATAAACTAAAAAAAACAGTTGCCATATAAAAAAGATTATATAGCTAAGAACCGCAGCCATTTTAAAATCTCATTTTAAGCACTCTCACGAAGATTTATGCAAGCACTATATATATATATATATATATATATATATATATATATATATATATATATATATATATATATATATATATATATATATATATATAACTGCGGTTGTTTAGCTAGAAAATGTTCATGGGAAGAAGCAAAAACTGGATGGCGTGGGGCCAGTAAGATGGTATTGATATAATCTAGTCTCAATTAAGTTAGTTGCAGGTAGGTGTTTTAAAAAGTCTTATTAAAAACTTTTTAAAACACTTTTTAAAAATTTAAAAATTAGTCCAAAACCTTTTTTGTTTTGGACTAATTTTTTAATGTGTTGTGCTTATTAGCACAACACATTAAAAAAATTTTAAAACACTTACAATTATTTTATTATGTAATAAACAATGTTCTTTAAGTTTAAAGAACAATGTTCTTTAAGCTTAAAGAACATTGTTTATTACATATTAAAATAATTGTTTTCAGCAGAAAAATAAAACCTGTACTAATTTCTGTCTGTATTTACTAATTCAAGTGCCAGTGAAACGAACGATAGAAAAGAAGAAGCATTCAGTAGACTTGTAATTTTATATATATATTTTTTTATAAATGATCTGAATAATTTTGTTGTTTTTATTTAGGTGAATGATGAAATTGTTTATACAAAGGATTGGCTCTTTAACTTTTATTTTAAAGTTGTTATTTCCTATTTAACTGTTGTCTGTTGTTAACAAAGCAAGTTAAAAAACGCACATAATGGCAACAGATTTATATTTAGAATTGTCTAAATTAAAAATTTTAATTCTAAATTAAATTTAGAATTAAAAATGTTTGCAAAACTTTTGGTTTGGATGCAAAAGACCATGTGAAAATGATACTGGAAAGGTACACTTTCTTATATCTAAACATCATTGCAGCTTTCTAGTTCTAGCATCATTATTTTTTAGGCTAAAATAGAGCTATGATTAATACTTTTATCCAGTTTAAATCAATAAGAACCCTCAACTTGTATTAGCTGAATTATCTTTTTGTTTTGATAGTCTTTAGTCAGTAACGGATTTTTAAATTGTTATGAGTCTACAACACTTAATTTCAGCAAAATTCAATTAAAAAATCACGTCATGGAAGAGAGAAAAATATCAATATCTGTTTTCAATAACTTGGTTTTTATAGCAAACCTGAGAGGTGCAAATGTTTAGCTTGGTATAAGTACTATATAATAAAATACATTGTTGTACAGTCATTTTGATTGTCGTAAATTTCTTTAGCAAACTCATTTTTATATATTTTTAGACTGTTTACCGCTTAAAAGGATTTCTCGACGTGAAATAGTTAATTTTATTCAACAACGCCAAGAAACAGAGCTCGCTCAAGAAACAGAAAAGAAAGAGAAAGATGAAAAAATATTCTGTTGAACAATACTGTTGTTTTACTTATAAATTATTCCCCTATGTTTAAACATATAAAAGATGTAGGAAATGCTTCCTCTTTTATATTGACATCTAAAAAGAGTTTTTTTTCTCGGCATTGGAAAGAGCTTTTTGTCATACTTTGTATGAAGAGCTATTATTATTTTCATTTGATAAAATCAGTTTTATATATATGAAAAGTATGAATACTATAGTGTGTAGGATACTA